AGAGATAGATATGGAAAAAAAAAAAAAAAAAAAAAAAAAAAAAAAAAAAAAAAAAAAAAAACAGGAAATGGAGCAAATGGTGACATGGGAAATTGCGTCCGAACACTGGAAAAATGTCGTATCTCGCCATGTACTATAGACATGCCAAGTTCAGGACAAAAGCAGAGTTTTGGATAGCAGCTGGTGTGTGGGGCGCAATATGCAAATGATTTTGTCATGTTCATGTGCGTCTTCCAAACTTCTTACAAGCGCAAACAAAAAAGTCATTTTTCTTCCGACATACCCTCAATCTAAACTGGTCAAAACCAGTTTTATGGGGGAGGGAGTGGGGTGGTGACCACTTCGATTACCATATAAATAGACGGACCTCCCTTGATGCATTGTGTGTGTGTGTGTTGAGTGGAGGTGGGGCAGGTCATTTTGGGGGGTTGAGCTCAGGGGTCATCTGGGAGCGGGGGGCAAGGTGGGGGGGGGCCCCCTGCAGTTCAGGGTGGGCTGCCCCCAGTGACCTTAGGGCCTTTGAGACTGCAGGAACCAGTTGCCGGAACTTTCCTATGTACCCCGGTACTTTGTGTAATCCCCTTCATGTGGCGGTCCACTCCAAATTAACGAGACCGAGTTTCTCAGCCAGTGATGTGGCAGTTAGGCCGGAGAAAGTTCCTGAGGCAAAGCATAGCTTGGACCCAGACGTCAACAGGGAAAGGTAAGCAGCTGTTAGCACCCATTAGCGTTAGCGCACCCAAAAACTAGCCAATTTCACCCTCACAAGAAATAAATTCTTCACCTTTGAGGTATTTTGACAAAAGCATGCCACGGACATGTTTTTCAACAAAGTATTTCAAATATCGACCAGAAGACAAAATGGGCTGATTTTTACCTAAGATGGTGGCCCTCTCCGTTGGACCGTCCGGCAAATGTCCATCTGAGGGGACGCTGACGGCCCTGCGGAGGTTGCGCGCGTTGGCGCCGTCTGCCGATTTCTCCAGAGCCTCGCACGTGTTCTGGTTGGGGGTCAAGGGTAAAGCCAAGTGGGTCACAGTGAACACTGAGGTCAAGGCGTGATGTCATCACCGTGCAGCACCTGCTCGTCCTGGCTGAGCAGCAGCAAATGGCTGTCCGTCAACACGCACAATTTCTTCTCCCACGCGCCCGTGTCCAAATACGAACTCTGACCACATGACAGGCGGTGGGCGGCCGGGCCGGTTACCTCTGGAACAAACGTCACCATATCATCATCATCATCATCATGTCATACGTAAACATACGTCACATAACACTTCCTCGGTCAATCATTTTGGCAATTAATTACATGGGAAAAAAAAATCATCATTTCCACGCCTTCATTCTGAAACAGGGCATTCTTTCATATTGACAATACATAAACATAAATTTATGATGATTCAGTTGCTGATTTGGTCCACCACAAGACAGAAAACAGGTACGAACATTGATTTGAATTTCCCGTTGAGAAGCAGAAATTCAGAGCATTTGGACCATTTTGAATTAAAAAAAAAAAAACAATCATCAATTATTAAAAATAATTATTAATTCATAAACCTGGTTGTACTGTGTACTATTTTTTTTTTTTTTTTTACTTAAGACTTTTTTTTTTTAATTTGGTATCTGAGCCACGAAAGGTGAGCACTCGTTAGCTGGCATCGCTTTCGTTAATCCTAAAAGATGGGAAGCACATCAGCGAGGGCGCATTTTCAATGAACGAGTATAAATAAATAAATACACAAATCATCAAAAGTCTTGTCATGACAAAGAAGCTTGAATGAACCTTAGATATAGGGTCCTTCTCAGACAGCCCCCCCCCCCACGCCTAGCCCAGCTGCAGTTAAGTCACCACCTGTGGGAAAAGGAGGCCACGCCCAACGTGATCATGTCACACGAAACGTGTGTTCAAGTGGACACCGAGTCGCCGGAGAAACTTGAGTCTTGCCAAAATCGCTGGGAATGTTGGACACCTGTTCGCTCACACACACACACACACACACACACACACACACACACACACACACACACACACACACACACACACACACAACACACCCGCGCACACGATATTCAGCCGTGTGTTTGTGCGAGTGCGCGCGCCTGCGGGTGTGCTTTTCATGCACATTGTGCCAGTAAACGCTGATGAAAGTTGCTGCGTGATTTGACATGAGCAAAACGTCCCTGCTTTTTTTCCAGGATGCACAAAGGAAAACTCAAGGACTAACACACGCGCACGCACACGCGTGGGGAAAACAGAAGCCGCTTTGTATGTCAACTTGCGGCAGGCAGGTCACGTTTCCACGGCAACCAGTAAACACGGCAGACGCCCACCAATCACCGAGCACCGACATCACGTCACATCTTTATCGAGATGAACGCCCCCCCCCACACACACACACACACACACTCATAAGCGCTGAAGCTTTTGGGACGAAAGGTAGAGATTAGAGTTGAAACAAACAATCTATTAATCGACAATTCATCAACAATAAAATGACTGATCAACTATTTGGACTTACTTCTTATCGACCATGTTTAATGTAAAAGATCAGACTCTCAACAGTAAATCTCCAATTTCTCAAGCCTTCAAAAGAAAGCCGATAGATAATATTTTTGTGGGGTTTTTTTCAAACAAGCTTTTATTTTGAAAATCACATGATTAATATTTTTGCAAAATTTTCAGACAGATTCGGGGGTTATTTGCAGCTGAGCAGGTAGTTAAAGTAATCCCTTCGAAAAAAGGAATTGAAAAAAAAAATATTTGGAAAGAACTCAAAACACAAATTATTTTTCATTTGATTGTTTGCCCAGTCGATAGAATATTTGATTCTAAAAAATATTAAAGTTGTATGTTCCAACAATCACTCGTGGAGCATTCTGAGGAAATCACAATGTCCATGCGCTATTTTTGGAACAGTTCCGATGTGCTTCTAAGGGCCTCCAGACGGCAAAATGGCCGCCTCAGCATAGGGCACCAAGGCCGGCTTTTTTTGGGACATCCTGTTTGGGAAGCAGTTAAGGGACTCTCCACTTCCTGCCGTCGTCGGCCTCCATTGTGTGGATGAGCGAGGAAGCTGACACACGCTCACGCAAAGTGACTCACTCGCACTGGGTGTTGGAGAGTGCGGTTTTGGGGGTTCGGATTCTGTCAGACTGTCTGTCATTTGCCTATGTGCGCCCTCAGACTGACTGGAGACCAGTCCGGGGACTTGGTGGAGTCCGTCTTAAGGGTGTGAAGTTATTGTGGAACTAGAACAAGGCAACATGACATCAGAGGGCTCTTGAAGGGCCCGTGCACATGATGCATGGACTTGCATATGATTCATGACTCACAACGCCGTTGCGAGAAGTGAAACCGCCGCCGGCCATCTTGGATTGCCACTGTGGCACTTGAGCAAGGCATCATATTGACATTGTACATTCTCCACTATGTTCCTTTACAGCGAGCCACAGATGGGTGAGTGTTTGGCCCTTGCCACACAAATTCTTCATTAGGAACAAAATGAGAGAGTACTGAGAAGATGACATATAAATATTACTCAACCAATGTATATCTGTTGAAATGTAAGAAAGCTAGGTAATTCATAGTGAATTAAGAATTTGTTCTGGTCTTGTTTACACACTCAACTCAACTGTATTCATAGAGCACTTTAAAACAATCAGTTGTGGTGCAAATTGACACGATTGATTATAGATCATATTAACCAATGCTTTTTCTTACTTTGGAAACGTGTGTTCTTTTGTATTATTAAATATGATAGAACTGCCCATGCATAATTAGAGTTAAACAACTTTAATATTATTTGAGCAAAATTTTATATTCAGAGATCCAAATGTATGCATTTTTTTTTTGTATATGGAAGCAACTGTTTTCTACATGATCTATCTGTAGGAAACAAAAAGCTGTGAAAACGTATAATTACTGCAAATCTTATAGTTGTTTCAGTGTATTCTGTATCTTTGTATTTCATCTTCATTTACTTTATTTGGCTTTTATATTCTTTGCGAGCTCTTCGGTGTGTTTTGTGAATAGGTTGGAGGTGGATACGACTTTTACATTTAAATATTAGACATTTGTTGTCGACTTTATTAGTTATGGAGGTGTCGCAAGTTGTCCTTACCGTGAACGCGCATCCAACCCTGTAGCTGGCAGACGCCGTCCGCTAGGAGGCGCTGCGCCGGGCCAACACCACCGGCCAGCGAGTCGGCGTCGTCCGCGTCCGGCCGGTCCATGGTGGCCGGAGTCGTCGGCAAGTTCCAACCGAACCAGAACGACGACAACTTTTCCACTTTGTAGCGTTTGCCTTCGAAGATCGTTCGACACTCGATTCGCTTTAAACTTGGCTTCCCGTTAGCCGTCCGGACGAGTCCGCCTCATGCTTCCGCTCCTCACTCGTTCGCTCTGGGGGCGCGTCGAAGGAACGGAACACCGAGAACAAATCCAGAAGCGTCCGTTCCTGTCCGGCCGCGTCCCTGTCCGTCCTGCTGTCGTCGTGGCTGGGAGAAAGTTTGGAAGTCGCTCGGCGTAAGCCGCCGGCAAGACGAACAAGAAGAAGACTCCGGGAAAGTGAAGTCAGCAGCCGTGCGCGCCCACGACAAAGACCCTTGCGCGCGCGCACGAGAGCGCGCCTGAGCTTTTGGCCTGTGTCCTTCCTTGAACTGGATTCTTATGAACCTGACACCCCAAGTCAAATGACACCAAGGAAATAGTGATTTCATACAAAACGCCACTCAACTTGTCTTATAGAGTACTTTAAAAACAACGATAGTTGTACATGGAGTCAAAATCATACATCTAAAAGTAAACACCATAAAACACTTGAAGAATGCCGAGTTGAAAGCCAAATAATAATAATAATAAGGGTAGTGACACAAATTAGATGGAGAACATTTTTTTTAACGATTTTCCTCAGTTATGTGTTTGGATTGGGCTGGGAGAAGCTTCAAAGATTTGATTTTACATTTCCATTGTTTTCACAGTAATTTTTTTTTTTTAAAGGTGCCCCCTTTCAGCTTTGTGCACCTAACCACTCCAAAGGTGTCCGCACGTCTGATTTAGGAGAGCACAAATGTTCAACGGGCATTCTGAGCCATTGCATGAAAGTAAAAAATAAATAAATAAATAAAAAGGAAAAGTTGTCTACATCGTTTTAGGTCTATCCAGAAATTCCACTGGAAACTCGAAAATCCCAAATTCTAGGGACTTTTGGGAGCTCCTCTGTGATGACACACAGCAAAGTACATCAGTGCTCAAGTAAAGTTTTTCTTATACACATTTTTTATGTTGTTATAATTGACATGTTGCAGACAGACGAAGAGACTCCAGACAGCAAGTAGACGAGCGGCACGCACGACGGCGGGCGCCTGATAACTTAACAATACTGTTTATTATTACACACGTGTGCTTACATGACTATAAGTGGATGGATGGATGGAGGTCAAAGGTCATAGTGTTCTTGTTTGGATTACACACACACAAAATTCATATTAAGGCACAAAGTCGTTACAAATCACAGGTTAACTATGTCTTCACTTCAGTCGCGTGACATGAGAAATAAAGAACATTAAGAAATTGGCGACGTTGATGAGCACGCGTGCATATGCACGTCGCTATTGACACAAAAACGTGAAAATCAAAAAAAAAAACACTCACACATACGCACATTACATATTTTTAGCACCAGTGTATCAGAGCAAATGTACAAAAGTTGCATAGAGTCCAAGTGACGTCACCACGTGACTGGAGAGGCGGGACCGGGATGAGCGGGGGCACGACCGATGCGGCCGCACCCTGATTGGTCGCTGGCGTGCTTGGCACGCCTGACAGCAAACGCGTTAAGCTTAGCATGTAGCAACGACGTCACGCAAGAGAAGGAGAAAGGTTGCGCGGCGGGCTATGATGGGTAATGGCGGCTCGTGCGCACAAAACTGCCACTGGGAGCGACTTCCTGTGTGCAGTCACATGATGTCACATTATGGAAAGCTATCTTTCGCAACTCAACAACTCATGATTGTCAAATGAATCAGCGCCTGTGGAAAATCGATGAATCATTGTTTCATGTCAAATTTTCTCAAAAGGGAATCGCAAAACATTTGTTTAATTTGGTGGTCGGGGACTCCAAATTGGGGAAATATTGTGGAATGAACTACGGCAAACCCACAGCAGAGTTAAGGTCTCTTTGGCCTGTTGTGTAACTATATGAAGCCATGAGTACTCAAGTGATTCAACTCATTTTTTTGCACTGCAGTCCTTTTGAAATAATGTCCTGATTCCTTAGTGATTTATCAAAAAAAAAAAATATTGACGCACTGATCAATAATGATTAAAAGTAGCCCCGATTTTTTTCAAAATCCAGCTTGAGGTTGTAGTGCGCGCTGTGGCCCATATCTCATGAAATTTATTTTTTGCCAGGGTTTGTTCAATGTTGCAAATAGTTGCAAAGACATTTGCCAGACCTTCCCAAACAGTTAATGGTTGCAAAGAGTTTTTCTTGTCGCTATCAAATTTTTAACGTAAGAAAAAGCGTTTGAGACTCTTAAAATTGGTGGCATATTTGCGACCGTTTGCGCTTCTTCACTAGTTGTACTATTAGCACGCAGGTGTCAACTAGGACAGTTTTGCCTCACGAGTCACATTTCAGTTGTTCTACTCGTGCACCCGAGTTGTACTAGTCTCTTGAATTGTTTTAATAGTGAGGACAAAGAGTGTACGAGTACAACTTGCTCCTGGGGATAGTTATGAAAGATATCAACTAAATAGTCAGGCAAATTGCTTGAGCATTTATTTGACACTTTTGCTTCCTAGTATGTTACTAGTGAGGCAGATTTTGTGCATTAGTTGACAATTGCATGTTAATAATACTCCGAATGACATAATAAATTATTAACATTAAGCCCTTTACGATTTGCACGAATACGGGGGTAGGCAACTCCGGTCCTGGAGAGCCGCACTGCAGTCCTGCTTGTGTGAGAAGTTTCCCATTTCCAACATACCAAATTCAAATGATCAGGATCATTATCAGGCTTTTACAGAACTTGCTGGAACAGGGAAAGTTATAAAACAGGATGGACTGCGGCTCTCTAGGACTGGAATTGCCTACCCTGTACAAGTAGCAAATGGATGCCAACTAGTGCAGTTCAATGGCATGCGTAAAATGTTGTTGTGCTAATTTGCTCTAAAGCTGTTTGAGCATTGATTCACAACACACTAGTTTTCATTCTTCGTTTGGCGCACTAGTGGGATATCGACTAATTGATTTATTGGAAAGCATTTATTGGAAATCCTACCAGTGGCCTGAATCGTGACTTCAATGGGCCTCAGAAAATCCAAATTAGTCAGGCCTTAGTCCTGAAATAAAACACGGCCATTGAATTGGATATCAAGGACATCCAATAAATGCTCAAGTGTCTTTAGGGCAAGTCGCTTGAAGATGTATTTGCTGGGCGCTTTTTGAATAAATACTCAAGTGGCTTCAGACGGACCCCTGCGGGACCCTCAGGATGTGCTGTGATAACCCTTCTTGCGCCAATGATGATGATGTCACGAACGACAATAAAATGTAGGGAGGCGGATCGTCACTGCTGGTGAGCCCTTCCAATGTGGGGCGGGGCACGACAGGTAACGGCGGCGCGCGCACCCAGGAAACTGGCAGCGGGAGGGACTTCCTGTTGCGGCGGCGGACGTGCAGTCTCGTGGGGTTCGTGCTGGTGGTCTCTGGTGCTTTGCGCTTATGCACAGTTCAAAAAAAAGACAAAAACAATCAAGGTGGAGTTTTGGTAACGCGTTTGTGATGTTTTGAGGCATTTTGCGAAGTTGAGCATTTAGGGCTTCTCCAGGGACGGCGTGTTGAAGCATCCGTCAGGCAGCGTGTTCTTGATGTCGTTGAGGTTGGCGATGTCGGCGCGGATCTCTCGGATCTGCCGGTCGTAGTCGCCGATCATGGCCTCCTGCGTGCGCGCCACGTCGTTGAGCTCAGTCAACTTCCTGTCCAGCTCGCTGTCGGCCATCTTGTCCTTGGCACGGCGCAGCGACTCTTCGATTTGGGTCAGTTTGCTCACGTCCACTTTGTCGATGTTGCCTGAGGGACACGTGGTAGGAAAAGATCAGTCACCACTTCTAACATGCAACTAGAGGTGCAACAATTCAACCACAGCTCATTGTGGTGCGCTTACCTAGTTGCTCCAGCAGGGCGGCGATGGTGCTGAGGACTGTCTTGACGGCGCTTTTGGCCTTGCGGGCGTTGTCTTCTGCTTCCTTGGCATTGGTCGACGCCTGCCGCAAGTCGGACATATTAGCCACATTTATTAAATGTGAACATCTCTTCAAGTCGAACACTTTGTGTGTGACTTGAGGCCAACACGCGACATTCGTGTGACACCGTGACGTTTTGTGACATGCAACGCCACATGTTGAGTGTCTACGTCACATGACATCAGAAAACATCATCATGTGACCGCAAATGATGTCATCACTAAACGTGAAATCATGCAGGAACACATCACGCAACTTGACATGACATAATCGGTGCCATCAGAGGACAAGACATGACAGCAAAATCATGTCATGTGACATCAAGTGACGCAACATGACAGTGTCACATGACATCATAGGACGTCACAGAAGATCACGTGTTACACAACATCACGTGATAGAAAATCATGTGATGTGAGATGGTGCGGCAAGGTTGGGTTCGTACCATGGCGGCCATCATCATGTCCTGGTCCGCCTCAGCCTTCTTCCTGCTCAGCTGCTCCTCGGCATTGCTCAGCTCATCCATCAGGGAGTTGACTTCGCTGTCCAGTTTGTCAGCATCCTGCAAGGCCTTCTCGGCATCCTCCTTAGTCTTGGCCGAGCCCTGGCGTGAGGCGGGATGCGAACAAGTGTCAGGTTAACAGCCCGTTAGTGTTCTAATAATAGGCCCAGATCCAACAGGAAAAGTTGTGGCGCCCCGCTATCTCGTTGTTCACGGGGGTGACTATACCGGTGTCGCTTCCAGTTTCTGAAGAAAGAAGAATGTTTCATGCTACTTATGAGAAATTCAAAGCAAACAAGATGCGCATGCTGTTTGAGTATTAAAGGAAGGTAAAAGTAGTCTGACTTCCAGAGTCAAATTTGTGGCTCCTGTCGCCTGTCGCCACCTGAAGTTGGAGCACTGCTAGGTCGGCTGTCCACTTGGGGGCAGGCGAGCGACCCACCTTCTGCACGTTGGTGGCGATGCGCTCGGCCTCCTCCGCCTTGGTCTTGGCCTGTCTGGCATCGGCGTCCGCATTTCCCAACGCTGCCTCGGCCTGCCGCGTCTTGGCATTGGCAGCAGCCACGGTGGCGTTGATGGCTGGGATCCTCTTCAGTGCCTCCTCTGCTGCCGTCTTATTGTCGTTGACGCGACGGTCAAAGTCTGCGAAGAAGTAGGAAAGGGCATGACTCACATGACTTGGTAAAAAGATGGACGTGTGTCATTGTGGAGCCAGTACCTCGCAGGTCATCGAGGATGTTCTCAGCCTCGCGGAAGGTGGACTGGGCCTTCTTGGCCGCTTCCTCCGCCGTCGCCTTGGCGGCGTCGGCGCGGGCCAGGAGCTGGTCAGCCGTCTGGGGGACAACAAGGCATGACGAGAAAGAAAAGAGGAGACCAGCAGATGAAAAGGTTCAACCATTTTCATTTCATGTTCAATAAAAAAAAAATTAAAAAAAATAAAAAAATAAAAAAAAAATCAAAAAAAAAAACCCAGCTTTCTTATTTCTTACATAGCCTTTTTTATTTATCTTATTTCTGTGTACATTGCTAGTGTAAAAATGATGCCAAAGCTTGCTTTAGTAAAGCAAAGGGGGGGTGAAAAAACAGATTCAAAGCAGAAATACAGTTATGCCTTGACCTATGAGTCTCATTCGTTCCATGAGCATGCCTGTACCTCAAAACATTCCAACCTCAAATCATGTTTTCCCAATGAAATTGACATTCATTTGCTCATTTTCCTGTTTTTTTAAATAAGGAAAACAGTATGCACTAATATTCTACTTTATAAAACAAAATAATTTTGTTCATCATGATTTCAATGAATTATGCCCATCTTGACCACCAGAGGACAGTATAATGCAGCCATACAGACCTACACGCCTAAGAGCCACCACAGCTATCAATGACGCACTCATCTGCACTAATACCGGTTGATCTTTGCAGAAGATAAAGAATATGGCCGATGGCTATTCGCTTCACATTCGGTTCTTACACGCTTGTGCTCCACACCATAGCTACATTTGTTACTATATCACATGTAGTACGTGTTGAAACATTCCAAAAAATCCATTACCTGCTGCTCACTGCGACCTTTCTCAAGAAGCTTTTGGACTTCCCGCTCTTTAGGCGCCAGGTCCTCCCTTAGGTCATTGTACTCCTTCACCGCCTTGTCTATCAGGCCGTCCAAGTCGGATGCCTCTTTTTTGATCTTGTTGGCCTCCTCCTGCAAACAGGACGCAGGCGCGTTTACAAGCAGGAAGCGGTGGCGGGAAGCGGCGGCGGGAAGCGGCGGCAAAGCGGGCCGGCCGGCGGCACCTCCAGGGCGTGCGTGTGGAAGGGCGGCAGGCCGGTGAGGTTGGCGAAAATCTTGATGGCGTGGTTTCCGGCCTCTTCCGCCTCTGCTTGGACTTTGTTGGCTTGCTTCTCCAAACTCTTGGCCAGCTCCAGCGCCTCCTTGTATCTGAACAGGAGGGGACCCACATTTCAGGAACTAAGTCCAACATTTTTTCTGCTCACTCCACTTAAACTCCCATGGACAGACTTCTGTTAAAAGTGTAACAGCACACCGAAGCACCCCTTCACATAAACTTTGCGATCTGTCTTCTTGCTTGGTGCGTCGCGGCCTTTGATAGCCATAACAATGATTGTGTCGCTTATTTTCCGCCACGGAGGCGACGGGTTTTATTTGGAGGAGAGCATCAAATTGATTTTTTTGTCGATACGTGAAATCTTCTGTGACATAAGTCATTACTTATGTACTTTGTCTTCAGCAAAGGTGTCATATCAGTCTCCCACGATGAATACTTTTGCCACCTACTTCCTGTTGAGCTCGTCTATCTGTTGAGCGGTCTTTCCTTCTCCGTCCAGCGTCTTGAGGAGCAGATTGTAAGCTTTGGTGGATGTGTCATTGGCATCCTTGGCAATCTTCTCAATCTGGTCGGCGTCCATCTTGTGCCTGTGCCAACAACAGTTGTCACGCCGTGTGCCTCTGCTTTGAAATTTACTCCAAATTACATCCTCCCGCACCCCTTTCTTACTTGTTGGCCAGTTTGCGCGCTTCTTCGGCCAGCAGCGTCATATTGTTGGGATCGCCATCGCCACTTGGAGATTTGATGTCCTGAAAGCACATGCCGCACCTTCAAGGACGCGTTCGACAGCGACAATGTCATCACGGGATGTGGCATGACACTCACCACTTTGGCGATGGCGTCCTTGGCTTTGTCCAGCTCCTGTCGGGCGCGGTCGATGAGGTTCTCGGCCTGGCGCACTCGGTTGCGCGCACGGTCCGCCTGCGCGCCCGTCTGCTCCACCGTACCGCGCACATTCTGCAGACGGTTCCACTGCGTCGTCAGCGAGCCGTTGATGGTGTTCAGACGCTCCAGCAGAGCTCGGTCCACGTCTGAATTTCATTTATATGACGATAAATCATTAATTGTCATGAAATAACCAATGACATTAACTCATTCACTCCCAAAGACGTTTTTGAACGTCTTTTCAGACTTGGTCTAGAATTGGCTGGTCCTGAATGAGTTGAAAAAAAAACCACACAAAAGAATGTTATTTTTGTTCACATTTTAACAGATTTTTTTGGGGGGAAAAAAGCATCCCACGAATGCACTAAACATTGTACTCTTTCCGATAGGCGAGATGAAACAAGAGAGAAGTTCGTGCACAGCCAGACTTTGCGTGGCCACCTTTGTGGCAACGTGCGCGCCTACCCTTGCTAGCGCGCGCCTCGTCCAGGAGGTCGAGGACTGCACGCTCGGCCTCCTTCAGGCGGTCTTCGAAAGCCTTGTCGCTGACCGTCTCCTGACCGGATGCCAGGTTGTCGATGAGGGTCTGGAGCTCGTGGATTTTCTGGCGCTGCTGGTTCACCTGCCACAAAAACACCCGCAGTCTTAGCAGGCACCGAGCTAGTACATGTAAATCCCAAGTTTGTGGAACTCAAGTTGAGGCCCACTCGGGTTAGGTCGAGTACACACCTAATTCTTTATTTGTTATTTTTTTTCTTCGGCGGACCTCACACATTTGTGTATTTAGCACTTTTGGCGTATTGATAATTTCATTCAAATGTGTTGGTAAAATGTAAGGTGAATGCTAAAAATATTGAATTTTGTCCCGTAACGGCACAAGGTAAGGCCATAACTGCGCGTGTTCAAACGACTTTGTCAATACTTCGAATGGCTTTGCAATACATTCAAACGACATAGCCCAGTCAAAACAGTTTATTCCACATAGCCATGCTTTCGTAAAATACACTCGTAACACACCTCAGCCAAAAGGATCATCTTATAATGCAATCTGTAATAAGACATAAGATTGCCCGGCGTTTCACATCCTTGGTGGGAGAGGGGCAACATCGGCACAAAAACAGCCCCATTGTCTTAAGGTGTGCACCTGGCAGTCAATCCCAGGGTTTTACTGGATTTTGATTGATCTTGCAAGGCCCACCGAATATTTGGTTCTAATGCTATAGAAACAAGGAGCCTACCAAAATAAAGTTTGGACTCTCTTCATTCAGCAGAAAAAAAATTTGTTTCTATCTTTTTCCATTCTTCAGCACTCGGCATTACAAAATGGCTAAGTTTCATGGAAATGGCGATTCCTGGGCAAAAAACGGTGAAAAAGAGCTTTTTGTAAAAGCATGCATTTCAAGCACGTGAGGCACCACTGCCGCCTACTGGTCGCTTTTTTACATGATTTACAATGCAAACGGCTTATTCTCATTCACAGATTGCATCAGACCCTCCTCCTCTCTATGACGCAAAAAAAAAAAAAAGACTTAGACGTACACGTACGTCCTTGGTAGGCGGGGCCTAACTTTAAAAAGATGTACAAGTACGTCTTGTGGAATGAAAGAGTTAAAATGTGTAATCTTTTTGATTGGTAATTGATAAGGGAAGGAACAACTGGTAGCGCAGAGTAATTGAAGTCCAATGTAGTCGCGTGTCTGACAAGTGTTGAGTGACACGAGCGAGAGTCCTCACCTTGTCCCGTACGAGACTGTAGCAGGAAGGACACTGCTGGCATCCAGGCGCCGAGCGGTTGTAGAAGTAGTTCTCCTCACACATGTCGCAGCGGGCACCCACAAAGCCGGGTCGGCAGTGGCAGCGGCCGTCCTCCCGGCACTGTCCCGACTGTGCTCCCTCGGGGTCGCAGTCGCAGGCTAGGGGAGGTCAAGTAAAGATCAGAGTTCAAGTAGGAGCAGCGCAAGATAGTCGTCGGGCGCTCGTACGTTTGCATCCGGACGAACTGAAGCCAAAGAAGTTGACCTCGCACTGCTCGCATCGGGGGCCCGTGACACCCGGTTGGCACTCGCACTGCCCGCTGACAATGTCGCACTGGCCGTTGGCCGAGCCGATGGCGTCGCAGTTGCACCTGTGGACGAGCCATTCAAACTGTTTGGGAATGTCTGACGAACGTCAGTGCAACACCGCAACTTCGAATGAACGTTGAGTTGAGTTCACAGCGCTCATAAATCAAAGCAAGTCATTGGCCTAACGACGGCTCCACTCTCAAGGCATCTTTTGGAAACCCTTTGCAGATTGTTGTCATGTAAAGTAGGGGTCATTGTTTGTTCATGATATCGCTTTTTGCAAACAAGCAAGGGAAGGGTCTTACCGCTCACATCCGTTTCGGCTGCGCAGGTTGAAGAATCCCGGCTGGCAGGCGCTGCAGTCTCGCTCGATGACGTTGGGCAAGCACGGGCATTGGCCCGTCACTGCCGAGCAGCTCTTCTGGGCGCCCACCGTGCCCAACGGGGAACATGCGCACGCTGACAAAAGGGGAGAAGGGACACTTGATGTGACATATCATACATGAGTTTGTGCTGTTTTAGAACTGGAGTGTACTTGACTTTATTACACCGCAGCAACCTTTTATTTGAATTATCTGGCATGCAACAAATATTCCATGTATTTAAAAAAAAAAGAACTAATACAAAGACTAGTCAAATCAAAACTAAAATAAAACTACTTTAAGAAAAAGAAAACCTAATAAAAACTACTAAACCCTAACTGAATTTTTAAATGATGTGTTTCAATCTTGACAATGAATGTTCTTTTTGTAATTTCAGGAAGATAATTTTCTTCTTTGCTTTGCGAATATAATCATCTCTTCTGTTGCCAATGCTTTTAGGTGCTGTGCTTTCAGGTTGTGTGAAGCACACCGACTTGCATTGTGTCTGGTACGTGCGATAGAAACAAAGCTGCCTTGCCATCGCACCACATCATATTGCACGCATTCACGTGACATCAAGTGACATCACAAAGCATCTCAGGTGACGTGACGCGCATTCGCATCACATCGCGGAGCATCGAACGGCGGCGCAATTTGACGGACTGACCCTTGCACTTGTCAGCGGGGTTGGCGGCAAGGGGGTTGCCGTAGAAACCGTCCTTGCATCGGTCGCAGAAGAAGCCAGCCGTGTTGTAGATGCACTTCAGGCACTCGCCCGTCTCGCGGTCGCAATTGCCGACGGCGTTGGGGTCGATGTTGTCGCTGCACTTGCATGCGCGGCATGCGCGCACCGGACCGCCCTCACCCAGCGGGTCCCCGAAGAAACCGTCATCGCATAGCTCACACCGCTTGCCTGCAAAGAAAAGGTGGACTGGTTTCTGGAAAGCATGTCTGAGAAGCTCTACCCGGTTTAGCCGGCTTATGGTTTGGGACGTGGAAACCCGGAACGATGTATGCATACATCCACCACGACATATGTGTACGTTGGTGCCGGGTGGTACCTGTGGTGCCAGCGGGACAGTTGGTGCAGACCACTTGTCCGCTCTTGGGTACCGAGGCGCAGGTAGCGCCTGCGGGACATGGGCACGGCTGGCAGTCCGAGGATGTCCCCCTGGTAGCGTCGCCATAGAAACCGTCCCGGCAGCGCTCGCAGCTCAGGCCCCCCGTGTTGTGTTGACAGTTGCATGCGCCTGCACACAAACACACACACACACACACATTTGCAGCACTGAGAAGTTCATCAAATCATCTTTTGAGGGGAGATGCACACTCCGATAAAATAAGCAATGTTACATATACATTTAATCTGTGAATTAATTACATCAAACTGAACAATACGATAGGAAATGATCAAAATAGTTCCCATTTTGACGTGTGTTGTTTGAATTTTGCAGTATCAACCTACCTGTGCTCGGGTCGCAGGCATCGCTGTGGCCATTGCAGTTGCAGGCTTCGCAGGCGCTGAAGGCCCCGAGTAGTGGGTGGGCACGGCGGTAGCCCGGCGCACAGCGCTCGCAGCGCCGGCCCTCGTAGCCTAGAGGGCACGTGCACTGCTCCACCCAGCGGGCTGGCGTCCCCGGACCGTGCCGGGCCGTCACCAGTGACACGTCGTCCAGGTAACCAGCACCTGAGAGACGCCGGTACAGAGTTAGGAGAACTTCCTGCACACCCTGCAATACTTTGACTCGGCTATTTCGGAATGCTGAGGGAAGGCCAATACAGATTCTGATCCTTCCTAACAAAGTGAATCCCGGAAAAAGGGTTTGATTGTGGACTTTTCTGGAACTCTCCAGGTCCACTAGAATGACCCTTCTTTGTGGTGATTATGTAGCAGGGAATGAGCGAAGGCGTGGCCGCGTATTGACGTACTCTTCTCGCTGTAAGTGCCGCGGATCTTGATGGCCGTCAGGTTATGGAGGAGCTTCTGGAAGTCTGAATGGCTAATGGCTGGCCTCCAAGGGTAGTCGGCGCTGTTGTGGAGTCTGGAGGACCAGCAGAAGAAGAAGAGGAGGAAAAAATGAGGAGGAGCAAGACGGATAAAAGGAAGACGAAGGAGGATGATGAGGGTCGGCAGTTCCTTTTCATTTCACAGGGATACTGCAGTCAAACAGAGTTACAAGCTCAAGAAAAAGACAAAGACGTGGGAAGAAGAAGGAAAAAAGGCACAGAAGGAAGAACGAGAACGGGCAAAGAAAACAAGGAAGAAGAGGCAGGAGAGGAGGAAAAAGAAAGAAGTTGAAAGAGAAGGTCAAGGTGTGTCCGCTTGTTACCTGAAGACGTAGCGTTGCTTTTCATCGGCGGGGTAGGCGTTGCCCTGGGCGATGAGAGGCACAGCCGCCCGAAGTCCGGCGCCTTCCAGGACCAGGTCTTCGGCGGACAGGCGGCTGTCGCGGCGGTCCACCCGGAAACTCAGACTCAGGTTTTGACCAAAGCTCAGCAGCTGGTCGCCCAAGAACTTGTCTAGACAGGCCACAACACGCGGCGTCAACCTCACACGCGCACTGTCGCCACGGCATATCTCCGACAGTATTGGCGCCTTGACATGTGAGTGAACCAAGGAGCAGCATCATAATGTAGCACTAAATCCTGATGCACAACGGATGAATTATTTCCACTCTAATATTACAGTGAAACTCCTCTACAACGAAATCTTGTTTGCAGCAAGAAATTTTTCACAACAGGGGGTTTTTCACTGTAGCAAATTTGATCTCACATGTAAACACACACACACACACACACACACACACAAACGTATGTGTACTCTTTATTTTTACTCCAATAGTGCATAAGTATGAGCATACACTTATTTGACACTTCATATTCAGTGTAGAAAGAAAAAAAGGGAAAGAAATTGCGAAATTTACGATCAGCATTCACTTTCACTTACATCAATTTCTTGGATAATGTCTTTTATTTTGCTTGCTTCGTCTTTCATTTTGATCACTTTTACCTTCTCTTGCGGCATCAGAGCTCTTCTTGTCTTAGCTGCTTGACATCCAAAGGTCCGTTTTGTAGCCATTTTAGCAATGCAACGTTTGTGCTGCTCTGAAACTAACAATAACAAATACTTCCTGGACTACTGCGCATGTGTAAACCAGCGTGGTGGTTGCTATTGCTGTTTCCGAACGAAGCAGTAGAGGTCGCCGTTGGATTAAACTTCGTTGTAGTGAATCTCTTCGCGAGGCAAGAGCAGAGAAAAAGATTTTGTATAACGCAACAGGGTTTTTTTTTCGTTGTATGGGGGGGCAGGAGATTGGAATGGTGTTAATGCATGAAGATTTTTTCTCACTGGGAGGTATTTTCACCCATGTAGGTTTCGTTGTAGAGGAGTTTCACTGTATTACTATATGGTTTGCTGCAATAAAATATTATAAAGTGCTTTTGTTTCTTAATGAAAACTGAGCAGAAGAAATGAAACTCAAAAGCCAAGGCGCCGTTGCGCGTGCACACACGTACGTGCTCGTGCGCATACCTGGAGCCACGAAGTACATGGGGAAGTAGTCCTGGGAGACCAAGGAAATGTCCTGACTGCTGGGCGACCATTGCACCGGCACGCTGGACGCATCGCGCTGCTGGCCCGTCCACTGATCTTCATCTGAAAACGCACGCACACGGATCAGTGCGGAACCAGCACACGCGCCCGCGCACGTGCCCACACACATGCACCCGCCTACCTCGCTCGAAGTTGGAGCTCAGCATGTGGATGCTGAAGCCGGGCGCGCTCTCACACACGGACGAGTGAAGGAAGCAAAAACACGGAGAGCAGCCTTCGGCGCTGCTGGCGTCCATGTTGAAGAAGCCTGGCTTACACCTGAAAGGTTTCAAAGGTCATAGTGTGTTGACACACGACTCGTGTGCGTGTGTGTGTGTGTGTGTGTGTGTGTGTGTGTGTGTGTGTGTGTGTGAGAGCGTGTGTTACCGGTCACAGGTGAACCCTTCCACGTTTTCCTTGCAGCGACATTGTCCCGTGTTGACGTCACATTCCTGAGTGCTTCCTGATGGCGAGCAAGAACACGGCCTGCGCAAAACGCGTCAACGTCATGATCGGCATCGTCACCGTCATACAAATAAATAGACTTTGATCATATTCCACGGAAACAGCAAAGACCGTTATGTCGTACACACAACTTGTGTACTCTCGTTAGGCCACAGAATATTCTCTTCATCATTCAGATGTTTTGTTTTGTTTTTGCAGTCTTTATGTACTTTTTGGTCAGCAGTTTTGGCTTTGGAACTGTGCTGTGCAGTTTTTTCCTTATTTTTGAGTCATTATCATTGACTTAAATAAGGCGAGGGAGGGCTTGCTGTTGTTTTGATGTCGTCCTTGGTTCCTTTGTGACTGTCTAAGGTCACACACACGTTAACTTCAACAAGTAGTGTGTGTGCACAGACAGATTATGTCAGTAGGGGGCACTTTTGAGTCCGGTTCGGCAGCCTAATCTGCACTTTTGCAGGAACAAAAAAAGTCAAGTCATGTGTATTGTATTCATGTGTAGTCTACAACAGGATTCTCAACTCCCACGTGTAACATATTCAGTAAGCAACAGGACATGTGGCTGACTCACGTTTTAGCCACAAGTTTGCTCCGAAAACAAATGCAGTGCAGCCACTTGAGTTGTTTCAAGTTTTTAAAATGTTCACAAAGTTTTGACTCCAGTGTGGCCTGAGAGGTGTGCTTGGTCCGTCCACGGGGATGTCAACCTGCGCACATTGTGCCGAGTGTCCCCTGATCTTCAAGGGTCGGACTCACGTCTCTGTTGTGGTATCGTCTGTGGTTGCCGTACCTGCATCCAGCCTCAGTGAGACTGTGAAATCCAGGCTGACAGCGGTCACACTTCTCTCCCGTCACTCCTGGTTTGCACGCACACACGCCTCGGTTGTCACACTGGGGAGACTCCGAACCTAAACACAGGTACACGCGCACGCACAGAAACACGTTAACTTCCTAGCACACACACACACAATCACTCTCAACTTGGCCCGGCTTGACTTTTCGGCTGCTGTGACTTTTGACATTTGCGTGTGAATGTGGCCAGTGGGCCCACACAGTGGCAAGGAGATCAGGGGGGCATCGTTAATGTTGAACCCCGCCGACCTGCTTTGTTGCTCGATTTTGATTCCATGTTTTTTGAGAAAATTCCACAAAGACGACAGCACTCTTCATATTGCTATTGTGACATGCGAGCAGGCATCCGGGGGTCCCCGTGCCTTTATGGGCGTGTCCAAGAGGCATGAAATAGGTAGCAAGAAGCTGCGTCTCACCAACAGAGTTACAGGCGCAGGGCAGGCAGCGGTGGTGGGCGTCATCGCGTCTGTAATGGTGGTCCAGGCAACGCTCGCACCTGGGCCCGTCCGTGTTGTCGGCGCAGTTCTTGCAGTGACCTCCGTGACCCGTGGCCCGGTACAGCTCGGCGTCAAAGTAGCACTCGGAACTCTTCCCGCTGCATTCGCACGCTGGCAAACACAATCGCCGACAACACGCGTCAGCCGGCATGACGCGAGCGTGACGCGGCGCCGCCTCGAGGGCAGGCTCTTACGTAGACACTCGTTGGCATTATCGGCGGTGGCCCGCCTCCACGGCCGGTCGTTGTAGAAGGCTTTGCAGGATTGACAGTCCGCTCCTTCCGTGTTGTGTTTGCAGTTACACACCAGACGACCTCGAGTGTCCTTCACGCACTCACTGGCGTGGCCATTGCACTTACACCTACAACACACGCGCGCACACACATCCATACAATGTTAATAAATAAATAAATATAGGAAAGCATAGAAAAGGGTTGGGGGTCCCATTTGGGGGAGCAGCTCGTTCCATATTCCAGAAGTCGCAACAGCCGGCCCCTTCGCAAATTATATCGTTTCGCCAGTTGACGCGAAAAAACAGGGATGTTACAATATTTACAAATATTGACATCAATGGCCGAAACAGGCCGTCATCTGGCAAGAAACGGGTGCTTGTGAACCTCCCAGCAACATCCTCCACACAACAGACAACAATAAGCCTCCAAGTTGCAGTATGCAGGGAAAAAGAATCTAACAAGCTTAGTTACTTGGATTTTTCTAAAACCGTGTTGCTTTTACTAAGTGTGTTTCTGACTTGACTTGAATTTTTGGATTTAGAGGAAGAGTGGACATTTCTAATGTTTTGGACTTAGAGGAAGTCTGACATTTCTAATGTTATGAATAAGAAATATATGGCATATATTGTCAAATTAGACATTTGGGAAGACATAGATTAAATTATTTTAGATTTTGATAAACGGCCAGGCCGATTATCGATGCCGATATACGAAATTTTGACGAATATCAGCATAGGCCGTAAAAAAAATAAATCAATAAAACCAGACGGCCGATCAGGGATCAATTTTACACCGTGTTACCTTCATGGAATTGTTTATTTAAATTTCCAGCTAATGTTATAAGAGATGCTGCTAATGCTGGGAACTCTCTGCACCTTTCGTTTTTTGTTTTTTTAATTGTGATTAAATCGAAATTAATTAAAAGTTTAACATGTCACTTATATTTTGACATTTTCGAAAACTATGTACTGCAGAAAACTATAGGGAGCTATTTATCTATTTAAAAGGTAAATCAAGTCTAAATGACAGGGGGGTGAACAGGATGAAACCGAGGAGGAAGAAGAGGACAAGCTGAGACGTGCGGACAAGGAAGGGGACCCAAAAAAAAAAAAAAAACAACAACATTTGATTGAAGCTTTTGTGCTCTTTGTAGTTTTTGCTATTTGCTGCTGGCAGATGTCGTGGAAAAAATGCGTTGCGGAAGGAAAAGGGGGCCGGAGGGTTTCGTCCCCGCAAATCAGTCACCACGTACATCACTTCACACTACATGAACGACACATGTTATTACCGTACTTGACGATGACGTGAGTGAACCTGGTGCGTTTGATTGTAAACCTGCCGGGCTGTACATTTCGGATACAGAAGATTAGGACTTTGATTGATTTGATAATGATGATTGCTCCAAAAAATATAATGTGAGTAAATACTTCAATAAAGTAAGACCGAACTCCGTTTTGCACCCGCTGCCATTTTAAAAACATACGGTCGTGTGCATGCATGCTACCGTTTTGTTAAAGCTAGCCTACGTTTTACCATGCCTGCGTCCAGTAATCCAACGTGTCTTCGGTATGTGTTAAATCCAGAAATAGCACTCGTAACTGACACTACGCCTTTTTAATACGGTGCGCTGTATGGTCGTGAAATTATGGTAGGTGCATTCGAACTACTACAACGCATTATTAATTATTACAAAAAGGTATAAGGAGGGTGACTTACTGCTGTAAATAAGTCACTGTGATTGTCAATGTGAATGAGCTGAACATTTAGAAGTCGGAGTGGTTTGATTTGGACAAGGAATGTAGAAGCTGTACATGGATTTGTTCATTTTGTCATGAAAATGTGGAAGAGTGACAAATGTGGGCTTTTTGGTCAGATGGCAAACCGTTTTGTAGTGCAGACATCTGCAAAAGTCAGAGCATTTTCGGTTGATTTGGACAAAACAGAAACGCCCCCTCCCACTCCGAGGAAGGAAAGCGAAGGCGTCAGTGCGCTCCACTCTGCGTCCCTTTTCTCGCGCTCGGCCCGCCCCGTTCCGGTGGGCTCGTAATCCCGGCCGGCCGGCCAGGAATGTGCGGAATGCCGGCCGTGTGGTGGAAGCGCGTTGCGGGCGTTATTAGGGAGACAACATTCCCAGAGAGCGACGGCTTACCTTCCGCCCACGGCGAAATCGGAGATGGCGTAGTAGTAGGACTTGAGCACTTTGGGGTCGTTGAAGACTTCGTCGCCAAACGTGTTGAGGCGGTTCAAGGTCACGCGGATGTCGGTGGCTGTCACCCAGTCCTGTCACATCACAAAGCGCAGTCAGGCCTCAACGTCACATCTTGGAGCAAGGAACACATTTCCAGCAAAGCAAACCACTAAATCCAGTTTGTAAAGAAGCACTTCCTGTTTATAAATGTATACATTGTGTGTTAAAAGGAGTAAAGCCCCTATATCTGGGGTGTCAAACTCATTTTTGTCACGGGCCACATTGTAGTTCCGGTTTCCCTTGGAGGGCCGTTATGAATTTTGGGAAACCACATGTTTAATCCCCTCCACATATGACATACACAGCGCACAACAAATTGCTGAAGAACTAGTTTTAAAATCAGAAGTCAAGAATAATGACTGTTATTGTGGATTACATATAACAATTTGAAATTTTGCTTCAGACTTTAGCAAGCATCATGGAACTTGACATGCTTGAGTTGCTTTCGTGGGCCACATAAAATGATGTGGCGGGCCAGATCTGGCCCCCGGGACTTGACTTTGACACCTGTGCCCTATATGTTCATATACTTCCCAAGTGTACAAGAGTAAGTGCCGAATTTAACCACGTCACTTTCTTGTTTAAAAACAAAAAACAAAAACGTGTGTGCATGTGTCCAAGTGTACTTCGAAAGTCTACTTCATCTGCGTGAAGGGGTAACTGCCCACTTCTCACCTGAAAATGATTATTTTCCTTCCATGTATATAGCTGTACTTCCCAATTTTAACGGTGTACTTCCTGTGCATAAAGGCATACTTCCTATGTGTAAAAGTGTGGCTGTGTGTATAACTTCCTATGTCCCATCTGTAAAGGAATAACTCCCTAATGCAACATTGTACTGGTGGTTGGTAAAGGTGGACTTGCTGCATGAAGAGGAGCACTTCCCATGTGTGAAAGTGTACTTTTCGTGCAAGGGAGAAAATGCCTCTCCACGTGCCATTTTTTTCTCTACTACAAATCAATTTTTTGGTAATACTTTCAGTCATTCAATTTTCCAGAGCGAAGCATGTGTCGGCAAGAAGCCAAAGCATATCAGATCTTAAAGTCGTTTCCTGTAGAGCTGGATGCGGCGGGGCTCTGCCAAAAAAACGGAGGGGCTCATCCGAACACGGTGTACAAGCCAAAAGCAGACCACAACACGTGCTCAAGGCCCTCCTTGGCAATGTCTGTGCTGGGAAAGACATTTGTTGTCCCGCTTGAAACATAGCGAGCAGCCAATGAAAACACTCGTTCGGCCTCGGACGTCCGCTCTTGTCTCGTCACGGCCGATTAAAAAAAAAAAAAAAAAGTTGCACAACAGGCCGTGAAGGCCACTGGAGTTAGCCGAGTGCTCGCTATCGTCAGGAAGCTTATCATGACCCTCAGAGGAGGGTTTTGTTTTCCGCCATGGAGTAGGAGCTCACCGCAGCTGCTACAAGATAAACAATCTGCGTCTGGCGGGAGAATGGGGCGCCAACGCTGGCGAAGACGTGACAAACAAATGCTCAACATTTACACTGGCAAGGAAACATGCAGATCGCAAGCACACGCTAACCCTGAATCTCACAACCAAAAATCAATCAATCCATTTTTTTTTACAACAAAATGTTTTTTTTTTGAGAGAAAAATATTTTGTTCAACTTTGACGTGAATATGATAACATTCCAACTCACTGGAAAAAGTCGACAGTATTCTCCTAAGACTAGATCTTTTTTGAATTTTGATTCATTCATAAAATTTGAAATTGAAATACAAAAGACATGGAATTTCAATATTTACATGAAAATTGTAAAATGTGAAGAATGGGGCATCAGGACAAACGTTTTTCCAGTCGGGATTTTGGAATTTTATATTTGAAAAGTGGCCGTGATTTAATATTCTTTAGGTCCAACGTTGAATCGTCCCTTTCGGTAAATTTTTAGGAGGCAAAAGCAGCCTCCCTGGGCCCAAAAAGGTTTGCGGGGGGTCATTTTAGCCAGGAGGCTTTTGTTTGAGCAGGTGTTTCCACGCTTTTCTTCTTTCGCCTGACTTCCTGAATCCTGGCTTCAGCAAACACGCCGGCCTTTGTTACCTAGCTGTCACGCCTACGTGTCAATCATTAAACGCTGCACGGTCGGGGTGGGGCCTTGGGGTTGTGTAACGGGGCCCACCGAGGGCTTCTGTCTGCTAGGAAGTGGGAGTGTCCGGAAGACGACTCGACGTTTGGATGTGGTTGTCATCGTTGGATGTGTGGCAGCTGCTCTGGAGCGTTCTCATAGAAAAGTAAGCAGCCCACCACCACTTAAACAAAAGCCCCCACCCTGCAGCTGCGCCATCAACGTGCTATCAATCACGCAGTCTTCTGGAAGCGTCCTTCAGCAGGAATCCGATGTGCAGCTGGTCTGCCCTTGCCTGTCGGCCTGTGTCACAAGTTTGCTGCTGGAGAAAGCGGCACGGCCACTTGTTTTTCTCCAAAATAAGACTTTCCACAAAGGATTGATTTTTTTTTGGGGGGGGGGGATTGTAGAGCATTTTGAATCAGAAAAAAGATGGCAGACGAGCAGTTAGCACATCCAGCAGTCTCCGGCCATCCTGTGTGAAGTTTGGTTGGTTTTTCCAGAATGGTGTTTTAATGCAGGGGTGTGTCAAACTCATTTTTGTCGCGGGCCACTTTAGAGTTAGGTCTTCCCTCGGAGGGCCATTATGAAACCACAAAAATGTTGAATCACATTATCGCATTATTACTTGTAAGGGTAACACAATTATTGTAAAATCTCAACATAATTTATTACAGATGACAATTTGACATTTCGGTACATTTTTTTTTTAGCAAGGATCATGCAAGGTGACACGATTTTATTTCGGAGGGCCACATAAAATGATGTTGCGGGCCGGATCTGGCCCCCGGGCCTTGAGTTTGACACCCGTGTTTTAATGTATCAATGAAGGATATGTTATAATCTACGATTTTATTTTTCAGCAAAAACAGGACTTTTATTTCAGGAATGTCAAGTGCTTTTTCTCGGAACTTACATAAATTTTTGTTTTTAAGTGAAATACACACACACACACACACACACACACACACACACGCAAACGCACACACACACACACACACACACACGTTTTTTTTTTCTTGAGAATCTCCAACTTTCCCCTCCAAAAAAGAAATGCGGTTCACTGTACTTCCCATTCATACCAGCAGGGGGCAATATGTAAGCAGAGTTACAAACTGCAGCGGGCCACTTTTAACATGCTTTCATTGGCAGCTTGACATCAGTGCGAGGCGGGCCAGGGGCTTCAAATGGCGGCAGTCAAACGCAGCACTACCAACCGCAACGACGCACTGATGGCGCCGCCGCAGCGGGGGCTGAGCAGGTGTACAGCCCCGCCCCCGGCAGACAGCAGTAGTGTCACATGAGGCGACGGCAGTCCGACACCGCCACTCAGAATAAATTGACTGGACAGGAAACATGACAGCAAACGTGACATCACCACAGTGTGTGGTGTGTGTGTGTGTTTCTGTTAGTGTCTGTGCGGGCTTGTTAGCATTAACCCCTCCGGAGAGAGCATGCGTGTCACATGACTGACAGCGGCGCCCAAAATAAGTTGACAGTTGACGGGCGGGGTTGAATAAGGAAAGCAAGCGGTGGATGAAGGCGGATGCCGAGCGGCCGCACTGGGCGAGCGCATCTCGTCTGGACGGCGGGACGCACCTGGAGGATGGGACTGTGGTCAAAGTTGTAGGCGCTGGGTCGGCCCTCCAGCGTGGAGAAGGCCACATTGCCGCCAGTGAGCGGCGAGATGTCACTGAAGTCGTCGGTGCAGAGCGCTCGCCGCTCGTCCTCGCCGGTCCGGATGAAATCGCGGTTGCCCAAGCCATACGTCTTTTCGCACGAGCCACTGTAGTAAGTGTACGGCGTCCATGCGCCATCCTCACTGCCGCGCTTGTAGATGACAAAGCTCTCGGGACGGCTCGTGTGGAACTTCAGGCGCACATACGTGATGTCAAAGGCCTTTCCTGTAGGTAGACACCCACGTACCACATGGTCAAACGTCAAGAAGCTGACATAGTGTGTTAGTTAGTTAACACATGACACATAAGCACGCTGACACGGTGCAAAAACTTGACATCATCAAACACCTTGCGCACCCGATGGTGACATCGTTTAAAAATACTGTGTGCTAGTGTGTGTGTTTATTTGCGCCCGTTTGTGTCTTCTGCTAGAGTTTCTATGTGTTAGGTTGTCTGGTAGTGTGTTTTTGTGTGTGTTGTCATATGTTTGTGCGTGCTTTAATCCGTCTGTTTGTGTTAGTCTCTGAGTGATAGTGCGGTGTTATATTGTGTGTGTTAATGTGCTTGAGTTTAGAGATTTTGTTTAGTGTGTTTGTGTATTAACCTGTCTCAGTTTGAGTCTATGTATGAGTGCGGCACGTTTGTGTGTGTATGTGTGTGTATGAGTGTGTGAAAATGTCACATCAGATGCTACAATGTGACGTCATCACCCACAAACACATCAAACGCAACTCTGTGACATCATATGTAACCAGGGCAACATCCCCACACGCGAAATTGACATAACCAGGTGCTGGAGTGTGACATCACGACCGGTAAACCTGACACGCCTGACGACATCATGCCGACAAGACATCCTGGCAACATCTGCTTCTCACACCGGCGTCCATCTTGGGACAAAGTGGCGCTGCGTGAGGACACGTACACACATGCATACCCAACGAGTGTGAGCAAGCCTGAGCCCGATTGTGTGTGTGTGTGTGGGTGTGTGTGTGTGTGTGTGTGTGTGT